TAGATCACCACAGATTTCTCTAATGTCATAAGTAGATCACCACAGATTTCTCTAATGTCATAAGTAGATCACCACAGATTTCTCTAATGTCATAAGTAGATTACCACAAATTTGTCTAATGTCATAAGTAGATTACCACAGATTTGTCTAATGTCATAAGTAGATCACCACAGATTTGTCTAATGTCATAAGTAGATTACCATAGATTTCTCTAAGGTCATAAGTAGATTACCACAGATTTGTCTAATGTCATAAGTAGATTACCACAGATTTCTCTAAGGTCATAAGTAGATTACCACAGATTTGTCTAATGTCATAAGTAGATCACCACAGATTTCTCTACTATCATAAGTAGATCACCACAGATTTGACATCATCATAAGTATATTTGATATATACTTGATTTGACATCATCATATACAGATGACATCATGATATACAGATGACATCATCATATACAGATGACATCATCATGTACTTGATTTGACATCATCATATACTTGATTTGACGTCATCATATACTTGATTTGACATCATCATATACTGATTTGACATCATCATATGCAGATGACATCATCATATACTTGATTTGACATCATCATATACTTGATTTGACATCATCATATACTTGATTTGACATCATCATATACTTGATTTGGCATCATCATATACAGATGACATCATCATATACTTGATTTGATATCATCATATACAGATGACATCATCATATACTTGATTTGATATCATCATATACAGATGACATCATCATATACTTGATTTGACATCATCATATACTTGATTTGACATCATCATATACTTGATTTGACATCATCATATACAGATGACAACATACTACCACCTGATTTCACGTGCAATCTTCTATTCTTCATTTAATAAAGTGTTCTAATTACACAATGAAACGATGGACCAGATTCTTTACTTCCGGAACTGTTAGAAGAATTACTCATGGTCTGTTGAAACTTTCCTGTTTGTTTGGTTTCATAGGATGACGTCACACTTTTACATCCAGTACAATATTCTATTCTTCATTTTTTAATAAAGTGTTCTAATTACACAATGAAACGATGGACCAGATTCTTTACTTCCGGAACTGTTAGAAGAAATACTCATGGTACTTTCCTGTTTGTTTGGTTTTCATCTGATGACGTCACACTTTTACATCCAGTACAATATTCTATTGTTCAAGAAACGTATTTAAGTGCGGAGTGGAATAAATCTAACTACTAATATATATATATATTAATATTTATTTAATTAATGGTAATATACTGTTCGCGCCAGTTAGTTAAACACTGATTTAATGTTTGTTTGTTTGTAGTTAAGCAAAAAGCTAAACAACTGGCTGTGTGTGCTCTGCCCACCACGAATATCGAAACCCGGTTTCTAGCAGTGTAAGTCCGCAGACACGCCGCTTTGCCACTGGGAGGCCTAGTTTTAATGAATAAGTCTTTTCGTTATTTGGTTATTTATTAAGCATTTCGATTAAATGAATATTGAAACTCAACAAGTACTTTTATTAGAGGACACCTCCATAATACGTAAACAAAATGAAATGGACTAAGAGAGAGTATAGTCCATCCAGAAACTGGACGATCTCGTTTACACGAGTTTCCGGCTTTGAGACGTTTGCTCAGAATTCTATAAAACATTTACCGGGATCACTTGTGACTTCCGGTAGGGTAATTCTAACAACCTTCGGGTTTTATTTACCGGGATCACTTGTCACTTCCGGTAAGGTAATTCTAACAACTTTCGGGTTTTATTAATGAAATATTTGAATAGTTGTAAGATAGTTTAAAAATACATTCAGTTCTTGAGTTTGCCATTATTTACACATCTAACTAGCCTTGGTTTACGTTTGTTTGAATTTTTTATTGGGTTGTTATTTCTAACACCAACACAGGCTTTATCACTAGTTTCTCTGATGAAGTTTTTTTTTTTTTAAACTAACGAGAACAGAGATAAAGAGTCGGTCGTGTTTTCTGAAATATTAATCACCATTCTAATATGCACCGTATGCTTCCTGTCTTCGTTACCATAATAAATGTAATTATGTCAACATAATAACAAATAAAATATTACTAAAGATACTATACATTGGTATTTCCTGGCTCGCAATAATTTCTTGCGAAACACGTGCATTCCCTGGTGTACTGTTTACGTTTACACAGCTTATACAGAGTGTGAACAAATCTCTCTTGTCAACATGTGAAAATATAAATCTATTAATAATCTAAACAAATACAATATATATTTCAGATATTAGCGTGTTTATGTGTGTGCATTTACCAACGTTATATTGTTATAGCCCAAGTCGCCATGTCCGGTCATGCTCTATCTGAAGACCGTGACTCTTGACAATAGCCCTACAAAGTAGTTTTCATAGCAAACGGCACCGTTGTGTAGCTTGTCATATAAAAAACACATGCCATAACTCCCATTATGCTGGTACCCCAGATTAATCCATATTCCTTTTTTTTCTAGTGTCATTAAGTACAAGGGATAACATGTCTTGGAAATTATAAATCTTTGATCTAAACATTTCTTTATAATCTGAGAATATGAATATTTTACTTTGGAAAGGACTGTTACACACCCTTCCCAAAAGCAGTTAATTTTCAGTGGAATCACACTATCTACGAAACGCCAAACAATGTTAAAACGTAGTTATTATACATGCCATTCCACAGTGACTGTATATCGGCTGTCGTCACCATTAAACTTGAAGATTCGCGTATTGCAAATCGTTTTAATATAAGGTACAGAGGGTCCTCTGAAGGTATTAGCCTGTGGGCATGTTAGCCCTTACTGTGTGTAATGTAGTTTCTGTACTTCATTTCTCCAAGCTTTAGAAATGTTAATACAAATACATTTTTACTAATTTACTAGGTAAACAGTAACTGGCCACCAGATGGCGGATCTGGACAATCCTATGAAGAGGACAAAACTGAAACCCCAAGTTCCTATCAGCAATTCTACCAGACGTATTATGGAACAACGGAAGCAGTGAATAACCTGAAAAGGTCTTTTGGACCTACAGGACTTAGGAAAGCTTTAGTTTCCAGAAATATTCAACAGAGTAAGAGTTCAGTAAAATTGTTTCAACATTTTTTTATTACTTGCACGTGTGAACATGTTTCCCCATCCAAACAAAATATTTATTCTGTCTACTTTTTTTCCATTATTCCTAATGAGCTAATGCTGTATAACTTGATTATAATGTTCTTCTAACATTTAGCGTAGAAGCTCTGTGACTCGAAACTACGTATTTAATAATAAGGCCATCTATATATTATCCATTGTTTGATTACTTGTTTTTTTTTGAATTTCGCACAAGTCTACTCGAGCGCTATCTGCGTTAGCCGTCCTAAATTTAGAAGTGATAGACTAGACGGAAGGTAGCTAGTCAACACCGCCAACTCTTGGGCTACTCTTTTACCAACGAATAGTGGGATTGACCGTCACATTATAACGCCCTCAAAGCTGAAAGGGCCATCGTGTTCGATGACGGGATTCGAACTCGCGACCCGCAGATTACGAGACACATGCCGGACACATATTTTGTAATTTAATATGTTGTTGTTATTGCATAGCGCAAAAATACACAATGGGCTATCTGCACTATGTCCACTACGGGGAATCGAACCCAGAATTTAGCATGGTAAATTCGTAAATTTATTACTGACCCACCGAGACCCCAGTTGAAGAAACCCAAGAACGTTTGTAAGGTAGACCTTACCTTGATCTCGTGCCTCAGGATGGAAGGTTTGTTTGTTCACCTGAATGGCTAGGTCAGACCTCTATGATTCAGACATAGTCCTCCCTAATTTTGAAATAGGGACCAAAGGGAGGGAAACAAGTCGACAGCACCTGCCACCTGAAAATGCTAGTATTAACCGAATGGAATTGACTGTCACTCTTTCAACGCGCCCATAGTTGAACGTGCGAAGTGTGATTGCTAGATCACGTATTGAACTCGAGACTCTCGGATCCCCTGTTCGATACGTTAACCATTAGGCCACTTTTTGAACCCGATGTTCTACACTAATTCACAAAGTACTTGGGTTATGTTTTTTTAATTGCGGTTTTTTGAAGTAGATTTCTGTGGTTTTTGTATTTCCATAAGTATACAAGTTCGATATATTTATTATCTTGAGTTATAAAAATACTTTGATTTATTTTGGAATATCAAGTGACGCAAACTTTATCTTCTAAAACTACACGCTTCCCAGTGTCTCAGGGAAGTCTGATGGCTTATAACGCTACAAACCGGGTTAAGATACCCGTGATGGGCACAGCACAGATAGCAAGTTGTGTAGCTTTTTAACAACAAATAAACTAGCTACCTAACTAATTAAAACGGCACCATTTAATTATTCCAAATATGTAAATTTCCCGTCAGTTTTGTTTTTCATTCATACATACCAAATCGTATTTTTGTGCTACGGTGAAATCGTGGCGATTGGATATCAATCTTTATCATGATCACTAGCTTATATGATTATCTAAGTCTAATTATTATTAGTTTGTTGAATTTTTAGTACTCGCCAATAATTAAGTTATATTTCGTACTTTTGGGTTGCAAGTCTGCTGTTGCCTTAAGGGAAGTGACGAGAAGAATTTTACGTGGCGTCGGAAGACGGGATTCGAACCTGGATTCTTCTTGTTGAAAAAGAATATCCACTCGTCGGTCACATTTACTCAGTCATTTACCAGGGGTTGGCAGCTATATGCTGTTTCAGTATTAAGTATATTTTCTTTCGAACTTCACTCTTGACAGACCCTGTTTATAAATTTCTTTGAACAGTTATCAAAGAAACGGTCTTTGATAACGGCGCTCATGCTAAATTGATACATATTATCATTGCTGTGATCCGTTATTTTGCAGACTAACCATGATATAACCAGTGGTACTTAAAGGATCCTAACATATCACATGGTCAGCTGTTTTAAAATACATACATAACTGAAACACTTCAGTTATGTATGTATCTAAATAGGGTTGCCGGGAAGTGTGTAGTGAAATTCTTTACAGGTTCAAAAGGTTACTCCTTCCCACGTGGAGATTTCTCTTTTATTCGATCATATGGTAACTATGCCGAGAGTTTTGAAATATCAAAAGTATCTATATGTCTGTTATAATGAAACAAATGTTCTATTTTCTTTAAGCACGTCTGCGCTGCGCACACAGAAAGTATCGAGCCCCAAATTTGAGCATGATAAGTCCTCAAGCTTACCGCTGAGTCAACTGTGACATAAATGAAACCCATAATACAACTATTGACACAAAACAAACAACTACGTGCTAATGAACCTTTAAATGGAGTTGACACGGAATGCCATTTTTAATTTGTTTCTTATCTTTTCATCATACAAAGAGTACAATAACACAGTCGGTGTTGTTGTTGTTGTTGTTTTGTAAGATATCTACATTTATAACCATCATACCGTGACAAATTTTATTAACACAATTACTGTAATTAGGATCAAAGGCTCGCTGGTTGTTGTTGTTCCCGATACTTGCACTAGTCGTCTCTAAGACTAGATGGAAGGCAGCTAGTCAAAAGCACCCACCGCTAACTCTTGGGGTATTCTAATCAAATAATGTCATTTGACCGTCATTCTTATGGCCCAAAGTAACGAAGCATTAGTTTATGGCAAGGGGACACAAACCATGGATTCTCGTATTCGCCAAGCTAACCATTAGTGATGAATTAGGTTGTCCACCGCTTATAATGATTTCAAGGTTCAAGGTTTCTAACCAGCCATTAAAGTTTAAATAACGTGAATTTGACGTTACTATCAACTTTAGTAAATTAGTGTTATTTCTGTATTTAGGTGTCAGAACGTTTCTCAGAACTCTGTTTTTCAACATAGAAAACCAAATAACATTATAACCCTACTTGTTTAACAAAAAAAGCACTGATAGTATTGTAAACCCTATATGATTTGTTAATCTAGTTATACTTGAAGCACTGATAGTATTGTTAACCCTATATGATTTGTTAATCTAGTTATACTTGAAGCACTGATAGTATTGTTAACCCTATATGATTTGTTAATCTATTTATACTTGAAGCACTGATAGTATTGTTAACCCTATATGGTTTGTTAATCCAGTTATA